CGTGACGAACAGATTCAAACGTTTAGTAGATATCCCATAAATGTTATTAGTGAGCTGGAGCTTTTAAAGATGTACGGCCTTTACCGGGTTTCCTCGTAATGAATTAACTGATTTAGCCGCAACCAGCCCAAACTCCATATGATGGCAACAGAATACAGAAGTTTTGTCAAAACTAACCAGGAAGGTGTTACTGTGTTTGAGAATAGGCTACATGTGGAATCCTTTTTCTTTTCACCTCCTTTAGGGTGAGAATCCTGTTTCTTCAGTGCTGCGTTGCTCATTTAGTTCAGCTTTCTCCAGGAAGCATCGAGGAATGCGGAGTGCTGACAGGTGTCACTATGAGCCTTGTGCTCCTTAAAGGCGTCTTCTCACCACTCGTTGACATGTGTCACTTTAAGCTTCTTTTGCAGAGGCTCGCGTTTCTCTGAAGTCGCTCTGCATGTGAGCAACACACCGGGGTGTTTGAACTGGAGGCTTAATCTATTTGAACAATTCTAGTTTGTGTAATCACTTAAATAGAAGTTGTGAACTCATTACTGTTTTTCTCTCTTTCCTTAAAGTCCAAGAAGTCACTAATCAGTTGTTTTATTTTGAGGATGTGTGTAATTTTAAGGTTTTCTTGTGACGGTCCCCTCCCCCACTCACACACTGTCCCGTTTGTGCTCTTATAAGGTTACAGAGCAGGACAGAGGTGATTTTGCACTGTGTGTGTGTGTGTGTGTGTGTGTGTGTGTGTGTGTGTGTGTGTGTGTGTGTGTGTGTGTGTGTGTGTGTGTGTGTGTGTGTGTGTGTGTGTGTGATCTCAGGTGAGCGGTTCTGAACTGGGCTTCTTTTATTTCTTGTCATTCTTCATTTGAGATCTGCAACAAACACCTGCACAGGTGCAGCAATGCAAGTGCGCACGCGCACACACACACACACACACACACACACACTCACACACACACACACACACACACACACACACACACACACACGTATTTTCCATCTTTTAACAGATTGTTTTGCTCTTATTTTGACTTAAATTTGCTAGATGTTGGCCTATTGTTGAGTTTTTATGTAATTTATCACTCCTGAGAAAAGAAAGATGTAATATAATATTTTTAATTTGTTTACTAAAAGCAAGCAAAAGTTCTAACATATTCAACTGTCTAAACTACTTTAGCTGCAGTATTCTAACACGGGAATAATTTACCATTTCCGTTTTATAGGTGGCATTAGGACAACCCCGTATGCTGAATTAGGAATATTTTCATGCATTTACAGATTTATCACCATGTCTTCAGAAAATATCTTGATCTGTTGCAAATGCAAACACTTCAATGGGACAACCAAATCTTTTACAACTTTAAAACTAATTCAATTTATTTCTAAAGTATTTCTGGTCTTTCTTTCTGACTGTTTTTCCTTTAATGATGGTTTACTCCTCCCTCCATCGCTAATATAAACCTGCACTCTGCTCAGCAGGACAGAAGCCCTCTGATAAAAATCAGCTCTTACGAGAGTCCTCTGTGCATTTTCTCCTTTGAATTCATCTCTTGAAGTATTTTTTTTCTGTACACTCATTTTTCCCAAGTCATCTTCCATCCATTAATCTTCAGCTCCATCTTCATTTTTTCCGCACTTAAAAGAATCTCAAAGTTGTTTATTCTCATCAAGTCTGAAATTTTCCACTCAGTTTTCAGTCTTAACCCAAATGATGCTAATAAAAGATTTGCTGACTTGATCCTTTTATTCGGGTCGGGGCTCCATCACCTCTTTGTATCGTTTTTGCACAGACAAAAAGCGCTTTGTACAGCGCTTTGTGATTTATATCTGTGAAAGGCGCTCTATAAATAAACTTTTACTTACTTTACTTACTTACAAGAGTGTTTATCATCGTAAAACATCGATTTTCTTCTGGGTAAATATTCTGGACGGAGGTTGTTTTTGCAGGGGAAATCAAAGCCCACGCCATAACTTAAAATCTTTCACCTCTTTAGGGTGAACATATTACACTTTAAACATGCTGGGTTTGCCGTGGTTCCAGATAACCCCTGAGCTGGGTCAGTATTCCAGCTAATTGTGATGGAAGCAGACCTCAGGAGAGGCCTTAATAACAGAGCGGGAGAGCTCATACGTCAGTCACCACAGTAACCTCCCTGGCTCCCAAGCACAGACCCCCAGACCAAATAACAGCATATTACTTCATACAGTACGCATAGCTGCTGTAATTGAACATTTCTGATTTAGTTTAGTTTTACCGTCCGAGGCTCCTCTCGTCTTTCTTTCCCCTTTCCTCATCCCTGCACGTTCGAGTCGAAGCTTGGCTCCCAAATGCTGTTGTCATAGTTAAGTCGCACCAAAATCTGTAAGCTGTATAGGGCTCACTGATTTTCTCTGGTTATTTTTCATCATCTGAAGGTAAATACAGCTGAACGAGGATGAGAAACGGCTCTCATGGGACTTCATGTGGAGAGTTTAAATCCAGATTTCATTCATGCGTCTTCATTTGAACTCTTAGCTTTAAAATTGTGTCTCTCTGCAGCAGAGAAAGAAACATTTTTAAAACCTTTTCTTACACAAACACAGTTGGGCATGAATAAATCCAGCATCTAATCACGTTTTTCCAGATTTCAGCTATGAACTTGCTCTATGCACTTGTTAACTAATGACATTAAATAAAATATTTAATATTCATAAAACTTAAAGCATGCATGCTAATGAGATTAATAACCACTAAAAATCAGTCTTATAATTACCAATTTAATCACTGATGTTGTAGGCCTTCGTTAACAAGCTAGCTTCTGTTCTGTAGAATCTGAAGGCTTAGTCCAACATTGATGTAAAAGCTGTTTCAAACTAGCTGTCACCATCTTGCTCCTCTCCGTTGCATCATCCCGCCCACCAGACGAATAGAGGGCCCTGATTGGCCCACAAAGCCGATAAAGCACTGTGATTAGTCCACAAAGCAGATAGAGCGCCGTGATCAGAAGCAGGGACCTGAAAAGGCTCAACAGCCTAATAACAAAGGCTGGTTCTGTTCTGGGGACGACTGTGGAACCGCTGGAGGAGATAATGCAAAGAAGGATTCTCCAGAGAATCAAGAAAATTATGGACAACCTGAGCATTCTCTTCACGAGACTGTCCGACAACGGAAGAGTGTCTTCAGTCAGAGGCTGCTTCAGTTTCGCTGCAACACTGACCGCTACTGGAGATCCTTCCTGCCAACAGCCATTGTAATATACAACAACTCTTTGATGACTTGATTATTATTATTATTATTATTATTCTGAGCTACTACAGCAATCAAGTTCCCTCTGGGATTAATAAAGTATTTTTGAATTTGAATTTGAGTTTGATTGGCCCACCATTGTGGGCCAATGACAGCTCTCTGTTTGAAACCCCTACAGAGAGCTGCGATTGGCCAGTCAGAATGCTGCTAGGGGCTGCGGAAGTTCCAATGGAGTGATTTTAGACCAAACTTTGCAAAGCAAGAATTTGGTCTAGTTCACTAGGCTAGTTCTTTTGGGGCATCCGGGTGAAATGGAGACATGTGCATCCATCCAGTCCGCCAAAATTACCCAATGGACCTCAGTAGGCTTGGTTTACAAAAAAAAAAAAAAAAAAGACTGTTTGGACTTACTAGGACCTCCTAGAACCAATTTTTCATTGTTTCCTATAAAACAGCAAAACACATGAAATAGAAATAAAAATCAGAGACAAGATCATCTGTCGTCCATCATCTTCTTGGCCACCGTGCATCTCTAAGCTGCAGCTTGTTGCTGATCTGTGGGACATAAGCACTGCCCATTAACACCAAGCACTAAAATAGTCATCACCAGCCTGACAAAGTAAGTGTGAAACAACACATTATCACCTCATCACCTGACTCCATGTCAGACCTCTGGGCACATTTCTCTTCATTCTGGACGCAGCATCACTTTCACTTCCAACGTGAAACAAATAGAACTCCAGCTGGAAGCTGGGGCTGCAGATGAATGTGTTTACGTCTTTGTTGGTGCTCACGTAGCATTTTTGTGCGTGCCTGTGACTTTGGGGTGCTTGCTGGCATGCAGCCATCTGCTCATTCATCATGTTCATCAATCCCAACCTTCAACATAAACATGATGTAACTATGGGATAACGTAAGTGTTTGTCAGGTTTCTGGTGCCTCTGAAATTCAGTGATGATGAAATTGTCTCAGGATTATTGTCAGTCCTGCTTGTTTGGCCTATTTTAATTTGTGGGGAATTGTCCACGACCTGCATTAAAAAGCCCATTTTCTGTCTCCTGGTTGCTGTAATGAAAAGCACGGCACTGCTCTGTCGTCAGCTGGTAATAACGGAGCATTAAGTCCACATGGCCTGCAGACAGGCTCCCTGTTGTACATTCAAACCTTTGATCTGCATCCGCAAACATGCAACTCTATCACTTCTGTTGGTGGGGAAAGTGTCGAAGTGCTGTGTTTACCAAAGGAAGATTCTGCAACATTAGGATTTTCATTAAAAACATTCAATTAAATCTTGGGGGAAAAAACAATGATTTTTGGTGAACATTGAAAGTGGGATTAATTAAAGTTTGGAAACATTTTCTCGAGATCACATTTAAAGGAGTTACATCAGCAGTTTCACTGACTGGTGGTGATTAGGCCTTATGGCAATAAAAATGATTTACTTTGATCGTACTAGAACAAGAGACTACCTTTTAAAAGCTTTTTAGGATAAAACACATAGCACTGCTCTAAAAGCAGCAAAGAACTGTTAAAAGAAGTCAGTTAGATACAAATGTTAATTCAGAAGTGCCGATGCTGAGAATTGGAAGCACATTTTTTAAAATGGGGAGGGGGGTTACAGCGTGTGGAGGTCATAGTTGAAAGTAGTGTTTTTGTTGGTTTGTGTTTTGCCCTTATTCTGCCAACGTTGCTTGAAATAAGTTTTTAAAGCACCACTAGAAGCTTCCTTACCTTTGTTTTAAAACTTTGAAAACAACCAACTTGTCTTTGTTTCTTCTGTCCACAGGCTACGACTTCCCTCAGGACCCCAGCGTGTTGGCTGCTTCTTCATGGAACACCACAAGTGATGGTAAACACACACCTCAGTCCAACCCAGAAACATGCCTTTTGGGGCGACGGTGGCACAGAAGTTAAGTGCTCACCCCGTAATCGGAAGGTTGCAGGTTCAAGCCCTGCTCAGTTTGTCACTGCTGTTGGGTCCTTGGGCAAGACACTTAACCCACCTTGCCTGCTGGTGGTGGTCGGAGGGACCGGTGGCGCCTGCATGGCAGACACACCTCTGTCAGTGCGCCCCAGGGCAGCTGTGGCTACATCGTAGCTCATCACCACCAGTGTGTGAATGGGTGATTGACTGATTGTGTTGTAAAGTGCCTTGGGGGGGGGCTTTAGAAGGCGCTATATCAAATACAGGCTATTTTATCATTTTGTAGCTGCAACACATCAGCTAAAGGCAAAATAATGATGAAAACTCAAGCAGTAGTGTTGAACTGTAGTCTCACGTATGTGTTGCTGAAATCACACTCCACCTCAGGAATGCATCCACAGAATTACTGTTCAGAGGTGTGGACTTGAGTCACATGACTTGGACTCAAGTCAGACTTGAGTCATTACTTTAATGACTTCTGACTAGATTTGATAAAATCTATAAAGACTTACAACTTGACTCTGACTTGAAAGCCAATGACTTGCGACTTGAATCGACTTGCATCCATTGACTTGATGATGACTTGAGCGTATTTGATACTTTGGCACAAAAGTGGCACGACATGGACAAAAATCATAAATCATTCTTAGTTCTGGGTTTGATCTTGTTCTGCTAACTGCAGCAGCACTTTGTTTATAATCCGTTTCAGTTGCACTTTCTGCTCGTTTGAGCAAATAAACGAAGCTTTAAGAAACTTTATTTCTGGAATTTATTTATTATCATTGTAATTAAATTAAAGTTAGACAGATGACTTGATTTTGACTTGAAAATTCAAAGTTAAGGACTTGGACTTGACTTGGACTTCCACATCATTGACTTTGGACTCGACTTGGATTTGATTGTCTTTGACTTGGACTTGACTGGAAAGACTTGTGACTTACTTGTGGCTTGCAAAGCAGTGACTTGGTCACACTTCTGTTACTTTTACAGTTTCCTCATTGCAAGCGACACCTTGAAATGTTCTTTTCTTGGTGCATCATTTTTGTCTTTCCTCACATTGTGCATGTTTGTTTACTTTATGATGTTTTTGGAGCATGTTTGTTTACTTTATGATGTTTTTGGAGCAGTACGAGGACACAGTTGTTCAGTGACAGAAGCAATCTGATTTAATTTAAGAAACTCACCTGATTTAGTGATCTTACTTGGATTTGTGACATCATTTTAAAATTCTGATTCATCTAAAGGGAGCTTTCCCCCAGTTCTCAGAGCCAGGTTTGGTTCTGACTGCACCAGCAATAAAACAGCGGCCGCCTTGAGGGCAAGTGGGAAGGATGCAAATGTTTGGCATGGTGCTGCGCTGACAGCTGTTGTGTTTACAGAACTAAACCTAAACGGGGAGCAGGGGTTTATTCTCTAACCTGGATTCATTCTCTCCAAGACCAGCGATACCCTCCTCGCACGTTGCACAGCTAAAGATAGGATCAGGTTCTATTTTTGCCACGTCAGTTTTTGCAACAGACTAGATGGGACATGCCCCGGTACTATTTCAAATAAAAGTACTGCAGCAATGCAATTTCATTTATATGTAGCTTACATGTGATCCAACGGCTTATTTACTCCCAGTACCGTTACAGAAGTGCAGCGGTGTGTTTTCACGGCTTTATTCCTGACAGTGGAGAGGAACATCATGTAGCGTTAAGGAGTGGCTACATACCTAACAAATGATCAATAAGATGTGATAATTCCATATAAACATAAAATGTCAACCTAATAGATCGTTGAATGTTTAATCAGTAGATTATAGTTATTTTTACTTCTTCAGGTACCATAAACACACTTCATATTAATTCAGACCACGTCGAGTATATAGTTTATTAAAAATGTATTTATTTCTATTTCCCTAAGCTAATGATTATACATGACAAGGCATGAATGATGATGTAATGGAATGGATATGAAGTGATTTAATGTGATATGTGGAATGCTGGAAGGGAAGCTAGATGTCTTAAGAATCTGAGAGAGTTTGTGGATTCTGGATTGCAAAAGAATTTGGCTGTATGTTTGCTAAACTACAGATTTGTTTATAAAACCGTCCGGCGCCAGTGTGCAGCCTACGATACCCTTTGTATGTGTTGCTCCCGGCGGTCCGGAGGAAAGGCCGAGTGGTGAGTCACCGGGCGTCGAGACTGCAAGAACCCAAAGAGTCGTAGCCCCCTTTGAATTCAGCTTTCACCGGCCATGAGATGCAGCCAGGGCCTGCACGTTAGATGTCTGTCTGAGGTGTGGAGTGGCTCTTAAAAGAGCCGCTGTGTCTGTAATCACTCGCAGCGTTGCAGAGGGGCTTTGACTTGGGCCTAGTTCACACGTAGCCGGGGTTTTTTAAAAACGAATATCCGCCCCTCCAAAAACCTGCATCCACACCACCGCATTAAAAAAAAAAAACTCTGTCCACACGTACCTGGATAAATACGTTGTTAAGGACATGCCAGACCTGTAGGTGGCAGTACTTCCCCCGTTCTTAACCTCGTCCTTCATCTGTGGTCTTCCGCAAGGAGCAGTAATTCTACTTGCAAAAACAAACAAGCAAAAAGCGTTTGGACAATTGATAAAGCGAGTGCAGCTCTGAGGGCATCCATGCTGTCGGCTAGTGTAAACACAGGTCGCACACGTGATGTCAGCATTTTTTTGTCGCGGAAAGTGACGTTGCGGACCTTAAAACTCCGGTTTTGTCCGTCCACACGCAGACACCCAAAATGGAGAAAACGCAGATCTTCACTTTGGCCGGAGTTTTTAAAAAGATCCGTTTTCGTGTGAAAAAACTGTTTTCTTGTGGATGACAGGCCAAAACGTAGAAAAATATCTACGTTTTGGCAGATCCCCGGCTACGTGTGGACAGGGCCTTGATGTCAAAGGAGAAGGTGGTTCCAAAACGCTTTTTCCACCCATTTGGCCGAATCGGAAGTCAGCTGGAAACTGAATTAATTGGGAAGTAATTCCTGTTTTGTTAAAACCCGTTGTTTAAAAATTTGGCAAAATCAGGATTTTACATGTTTGAGAGCCTTACCAAATTTAACTCACAAGTCACTCCTTCCTTCAGATACAAAGATGGTTAGCTCTTTGTGTGAATGAGAATGTTTTAAGCACTTATGTGAAGTGGATGTTAAACATTAATAATTATTTAATGTGTATGAGTACTGCTAGAAGAACTTGTTAAATCGACACATACTGATCTGGTGTAGTTTAGATCTGAAATGGATCATTGCAGGAGCAATATTAATTTGAAACCCATCGTTGATTAAATCACAGATTATTCAGACATTAGATTTAAACATCTTGTTCATTCATCTAATTTGATTATATCAACTTATAAATTGTAAAGTCATTTATAATTTGATGACCTTTATTCAGAGTGAAAATGCAAATCCAGCAATAAATCTTCTTCATTTGAATTTTCATTTAGCATTTTTATTCAATGAATGCTGTAATGGATTAAATTACGTGTTATTTAATAAGCCATCGTTCAGCCATAAGAGACACCGGGCGTCGAGACTGCCCAGCCAGGTACTGTCACCGGCCTTCGGGTCTGGCAGCCAGGCTCCACCTTCAGCCACCAGGACCTGTCTCTTGGCTCATCTACGCTAAGCCTGGCTACACAGAAAATCTTAACACATTTTTAGCTAAGTGAACAGTTTTTATATCTGGCCACGAAAATGGCAATGAAAGTACTACAGAAAGATATGGAGGAGTTAAAGGATTCTGTGAGCATGATGACAGCTGAATTGACAACTTTGACGAAACAGCAAGCCTGCATTAAGGACTTACTTACTGAGATTAAAGATCTTAAAATGAGCAATATGGAACAAGAAAGGAAAATTGACTTGCTCGAAAATCGAGTGGCAGAGCTGGAACAGCAGTCAAGAATGAATGATAATTATTACAGGTCTTAAAATTAGGCCTAAAAGCTACCTCCCAGCAGTAAAGGGAATAGGTAATGAGAATGGGGCTGACCGAGATGATACAGCTGAAGAGCAGGTTGTGTCATTTCTGAAAAGTAAAGACATTTCGGTTGATAAAATAAACATTGAGGCATGCCATTCATTACCTTTCAAGAAAAATCAGGATAAATCTGTGATACCAGCTATTATGATACGCTTTAATAGTAGGAAGCACAAAGTGGATCTGCTCAAACAGGGGAGGAAATTAAAGGGAACAAATGCATACATGAATGAAAATCTTACGAAGAAAAATGCAGACATTGCTCGTAGAGCGAGACAAATGCAAAAGCAGGGATACGTAGAGTCTACCCGGACTATGAATTGTAAGGTGTTCATCAAACAGAAAGGTGCTCCTGAAAATAGTCGTGGGTGATGGATCAGAGATTTCGAGCAATTGGAAAATATTAAGTTAAAAGGTTACAGTTATGTTGGTCATGATTTAATTTATTTTTACTTATTTTGTGGGTGTTGTTGTTTTATTTACTTAATTTTTTTATATGTAAATTATTTTTCTTTCATGGGTGATTTTGAACAGGATATTGATCCAGAACAAAATTTCCATAGTAGCACACATTCATTAAGTGGTTATTTTACTGACCAACAATTTAATCCAACTATTAAATATGAGCAAGGCTTATCTATAATTAATTTTAATAGCAGAAGTCTTTATGCTCATTTTCAGAATATTAAAGATTATACTGATAATTTTGTGAGGCCATTTAACATCATTGCAATATCTGAAACATGGATAGATTCAGAGCACGGTGAGGATTTTTTTATTTTTTTTTGCAAGGTTATAATTTCCATTGTATCAATAGGAATGGAAAGGGTGGAGGGGTGGCTTTTTTCATTGATCAATCCCTTTCATATAAATTTACTGAAAACTTGTCTATGGTTATTGATGAAGTTATGGAATGTATAACTATTGAA